TCTCTTTCTGCAGGAACTTGGTGTGTCCCTGCTCTAACACAGGTCCTGGTGGCTGTGGGGATTCTTCTGGGAAGAACACTGAAGTCAATTAGGAGGGATGGGCTGACCCAAGTTGGCCCTGCTTCCCAGGTTGAGATCCAAGATAGGTGCTTGAGTTCCAGCATTCCCCTCAGACCCTTGCCAGGAGACTCAAAACACACCTAACAAGGAGAGAGACGTAATAACCCTCTCCTTGGGTGCGATACCAGTGCCCACATCCAAGGGAATTCCCCTTCTACCCATCTTCCTTGGGGTACCAGCTCTGCCCATGCTTAGGCACCACCCCCAGAATCATTCCTGAGGCTGGCCTGGTGGGCAGTCTGGCAGACACCCTGCTGGCCTTCTTAGCCTGGAGGTGTCAGGACTATGAAGGGAAGGCTGTATATAGCCTTTGGGTCCTCATTCCGATGGCAGGGTGGGCCCTACCCAGTCCCTGGGGAGCCCTGGGCCCTTCGTGATGAAGGGGAATACATAGGATTCTGAGAGAAGTCTGGGTGGTAGGGAGAGTCAGCTTCATGGGGGAAGAATATAGGGCATGAGCCAAGTCCAAACCCAAAGTGACTTGTCATATCTCCTCTGGCTCCAGGCAGCTGGCCCTAAAGGCCCTCAACGAGCGGCTGAAGAGAGTGGAGGACCAGTCCGTCTGGCCAAGCATGGACGACGATGAAGAGGAGGCAGGGGCCAAGGTGGATAGCCCGCTACCCTCAGACAAGGCCCCCACGCTCCCAGGAAAGGGGGCTGCCCCAGAATCCAGCCTGATCACCTTTGAGGCAGCTCCCCCGAAGCTGTAACTCCAGACCACCTTGAGTGTAGCACCTCCTCTCCCAAGCTCCCCGACACCTCTCGGCTACTCCAGGGCACCTGACTGCTCTGAGGAGAGGGAAGAAGGCCTGCTGGGGGTTTCCACAGCCTTCTGCTATTTCTCGCCAACACTACCCGGGACTCTTGCTACCTGGTTCCAACTCCAGACAACCACTATGCCAGGCATGGGGCCTCTGAACTATCAGCCAGCCCAGGCCATCTGAGGTAAGACTGTACCTCAGCAGATAACCCCAAGCAAGTGGCTACAGGGACACTGGTGCCACAGCCCCTGGGCCAACCCTTATGCCTGATACTGGTTGCCAAGAGCCCTGAGCCAAGGCAAGGATTTGCCAAAAACGTTCTGGGGGTCCAGCCAGTGCAGGGCTGCAATTCCCTGCCCACCCTCAGAAAGACTCTGTTCATGTGAAGATTTCCGATTCCCTCTGCTGTGGCTATGGTTGCTTCTGGGCCAGAAGAGCCACAGCTCCCAAGTATTTTCTACAGGACCACTTGAGTGGGCAGCCAGGCCCAGCCTCGCAGTATCAATAAAGCAGTTCTTTGAGGTATGGCTCCTGGGCTCTGTCAGACCACCTTGTGCAGCCCCCTCATCATGTTCAGCGGCAAAGTTAGGGACTTTAGGTTCAAGGGCTTGGTCTCCATGGCAACTCCAACTGAATAAGAAGCCTATTACTCCACTTTGCCTTACCACCACATGCCCACTGTTAAAACAATCTCCCCAGAGCTATCACTTCAGATCTTACTCATTTTCTCTCCCTCTGATTCCCAGTCACGGAAGCCCTGCCCAGATGATGTGATGGTTGAGGGCCCCTCTATCATAAAGAGCTGTTCTTATTGATGGCTCACCCCCAAAACAGAGTTCTCAGTGCTTGACACCTATGGAAACAGCCCATCCCGAGTTCCCACCCTGTCATTGTCCACATCTAAGCACCAGTCTGGAGACGCCAGCACAGTGGGCACCTGGGGGACTGAGAGGACACACAGCTGAACCATGGACAGCTGCAGCTCTAGGACCCTGGTGGCACAGGCCGCTCAGCAGCCAGATCCTAGGAGCTCGTGTGCTGGGAGAGCTTCAGCCCCTCAGTAAGCAGCCAGGGACAGGCGTCCCCATCTTGCCCAGCTGCCTGTTTTTTCATGCTGACAGCATTAGCGAGAACTATTCCCCAACTCTAAGCTATTCCTCCCATCCAGTCTTTTCAGTCATTCTTTATTTTGCTTTTTTCTCTCCTGTAATTTCTGGACGTACCAGTACAAGTATGAGTTGAGTTGCCGGGGAAGTAGTCTTGCAACCCCAACTTCATCTGGACACATCATCCATAAGCTCCTCTGGGACAGTACAGAAGGAAAAGGGAAGCACTCCAGGTTGAGGAGCAAGCAAAAATGTCACACACAAGGCTCCTATTCTAGACTGCCCCAGTGCCTGAGGTGTCCCCATGACTTAGCTGAGAGAATCCAGGAGGTCCCAGCCCCAGCTACTACACTGAGGGGCATATCCAGGCTTCTAGGCTGGGAGGAGCTCATGGCTGGATCCTTTTGCGATACAGGTAGGCGTTGCTCACCTGATTCATGATGACCAAGCTGGTAATGACAGGGCACAGCACAGCCAGATACCAGACCCCACCAGTGACTGTGGCAGTGAACCAGAGTGAACACATGCCCAACAAGAGGCTGGCACTACCCAGAAGGTAGCCCACTAGCCCAGAAGTGGCATGGTACAGCTTGAGCTTAGCCAGGGGCCATCGGGGCAGCAGTTTAGGGTAGAGCAGCCCCACCCCACCCAAGCATTGTAAGCCCGCCCACAGCACAGCTATCAGCCCTGCCCGCCCATGCCACGTGGCCAGGTGGGCTTTGCCAAGCTGTTCCTTGTGGAGGATGACAAGACCTAGGCCCAGCAGTGCACACAGCAGGGCCAGCAGCTGCAGCACCCAGTGGCAGCGTGCTCGGCCCTTCCGCGAGAGGGAGCGCAGCAGCGAACTCTCTGGAGAGAACACCAGCAGTGCCTCGGTCATCAGGAAGGAGAACTGGGGAGACAGGGACGGGAAACAAAGTCAGGGTGCTGCCCAGCAGAAGGAAAAAGATTTAGATAACTTTCTAAACTGCCAGTCACTCTGGGCAGAGTCCCCCTCTTCATTCTCTCATCGACAAGAGTATCCATTTGGGTGGGGCAAGAATGAGGAACTCTAAAGGACAGAACGTCTGCCCTGAGTAACTGGTGAGAAGTATGTACCTCTCCACACTCCTTCCTAAGTGATATTGTGAAACGTCATCTCGGCTATATTACCCATCAAACACTAGGTTTGAGACGTGGCAGTCATAAATGATTCACAGGCTTTGTTTCCCTGACACGAGGATGGATACAATTTCTTGGCAAGAGCTGGCCACATGGGTGCACTGTTTCAGGGAAAATTCGATGCATCACTATAAATTCAGGTAAAAGGGGACACAGGTACACCCAAATGCATTTTCTTTTTTTCTTTTCTTTTTTTTATTTATTGAGAGAGAGAATGGTAGAGAGCATGAGAGGGAAGAAGGTCAGAGGGAGAAGCAGACTGCCTGCTGAGCAGGGAGCCCGATGCGGGACTTGATCCTGGGACTCCAGGATCATGACCTGAGTCGAAGGCAGTTGCTTAACCAACTGAGCCACCCAGGCACCCACCCAAATGCATTTTCTAAGCTTTCTGCCTGGAAGTGGTGAAGTCTCATTTTGTGCTTAGACCGATTTGCCCTGGGTTTTGAACACTGTGGTTCAAGCAACTCCTCCGATCCCACATTCCATCCCTCTAAAGAGATACTAAGTGTCCATAAGGATTCAGAGGCTGTCAGGACTACCACCCGTACCTATGCTCCCTCCCACCCCTAAGAGCTGGCCCGGGCGCTACTTACAGCCAGAGACATAAGCGTGGGGTGCCAGGAGAACAGACCTGGAATGAAAAGGAGATTTTGTGAGGCTGAGGCAGGAAGAACCCAGCCACACCAATCCCCACAGGGTGAGGAAAATGAGCTGCCCCTCACCCAAGGAAGCGCTGCCAAAATGCTAGCCCCTCTTACTGCAACAAGCTCACCCGCTACCTATCCTTGCTTCCTGGTCCCTCCCTGGGGCAGAGGCCATGCTTTGCCACACTGGCAGTCCTCCCTCCTCCTAGCACCTCACCAAAGGCAGCCAAGTAGAGCACCAAGACAAGGAAAGAGAAGCCAGGTACTCTGGCCCAACTGGTAGAGCCCCCACACTCACCTCCTCCCCACTCATCCCTCCAGCATAGGATGTCCCTCAGCCAGGCAAGCCTTTCCTGGGAGTCAGGCCCAAGGCTTCCTATTGCTCCTGCTCCCCAGGAGAAGGGCCGCTTTCCTTCCCAGAAGTCAACTATGAATTCTACTTACTGGATCCAGGCCTGGCAAGCACAGCCACAAAGATGGTAAAACCCAGGGCCACAAGGTGGGCAGCAGCCCCAGAGGCAGTGCGCAGAGCTCTGTAGATGTGCGACTCGGTCTCCACAGAAAGGGCCATGGTCAACCAGGCCAATGGCTGTAGCCTGAAAGCATAGTAGAATGAGCAAAGGTCTCAGGTGCCTGCTGTCCACTCTTCTCACTGGAGCAAAAGTTGCAGGGCAGGAATGCCACTCTCTTCCAAGAAGTTAAGGTAGGAAGGGACAGTACCAACACAGGCAGCAGGAATAGTCGAGGACCGGCGGCCTGTCGGCCTGTACCCGCATCTGAACTGGCACTGATCACTGGCCCACCTTCCAGGTAGGATGCGCAAGGCCGTGTAATAGACTACAAATCCCAGCGTGCATCACGCCGTCGCCGCGCGGGAGCGCCAGCTAGAAGGGCGTGAGGCACTACGGGTATTGTAGTTCCCATCTGCGTATCAAATTACAGCCTGAATCCCTTCGCGTACAGTCTCCCCACGTGCCGCTGGCATGCTGCCCCTACATGCTAGGGACTCGCCTGCCTCAGCGCTGACCCGATGCGGTGGTTTCTTCCCGAGAAAGCGGGATACTTGGGGCACTGCCGCGCGCGCTGCCGCTCCGTCGCGGAGCCGCTTCACTTCCGGGTGCGACGTCCACCCAGCCGGGACTTCCCGAGACAAACTCCCCCACCCCCCAGCCACACCTCTCAGTCGCTCTGCGCAGGCGCTGTTAAGCAGACAGCTTAACGGGTGTGTGAGTGCGCAGGCGTGCTTGACCTGGCGAGCCAGGCCTGAGGGCTGTTTCCGACGGTGTTTGCAGGGGTCCAGGAGCCAGACACTACAGATCTGGGCCCTGCTAGCGCCATGGGCAGCGGCTGCCGCATCGAATGCATATTCTTCAGCGAGTTCCACCCCACGCTGGGACCCAAGATCACCTATCAGGTGCCATCCGGGCTCGCGGGGCCGGGGGCTGGGGTGGTGAGGGTGGTGGGAGAGGGACGCTCCTGGAAGCTGAGCAAGCTGCCTGGAAGCGGTGGATTCCCGTGCCCCATGCTGCACGCAGGCATACCACTCCTTCATTCGCGGAGAATCGTGAACCGAGAGGATACTCAGACCCAGGTCCCAGGCTCCCGGTGTGTCGGGGCAAACATCTCATAGACAGTGATTGTGGGAAATCGGGCTGTGGAGACCCAGGGGAGGTTCAAGGCCCCAAGAGAGGCGGGGGTGTGCGGTCCAATAGTATTCCTGGATGCCTAGGAATTTAGATGGAGGAGGAGAGAGTGTGCCAGGTAGGGGAAACAGCATATGCAAAAGCCAGGAGGCAGATGAGAACATGGCATGTGTTTGGAAACACAAAGTAGTAGTACGTCTGGGTGGATGGGAGAGAGGAGAAACGCTGAACAGGGCTTAGGCCTTGGGGGTCACCCAGTATACTCTGCCTAGTCCCAAGGTCCACTAAGGGGCCTCTTGCCACGTCCCTCCCCAGGTCCCTGAAGATTTCATCTCCCGGGAGCTGTTTGACACAGTCCAGGTGTACATCATCACCAAGCCAGAGCTGCAGAACAAGCTAATCACTGTGTGAGGCCCTAGTGGGGAAGGGAGGGAATGTCCCCCAAGGAGTGGACAAGCTTGGGGGCAGAAGGAGCCTGACTTTGCTCCCACCTGTTCCCCCCCATCCAGCACAGCCATGGAGAAGAAACTGATCGGCTGCCCTGTGTGCATTGAACACAAGAAGTACAGCCGCAATGCCCTGCTTTTCAACCTAGGCTTTGTGTGTGATGCCCAGGCCAAGACCTGTGCCCTTGAGCCCATCGTCAAAAAGCTGGCTGGCTACCTGACCACACTGGAGGTCTGCAACACGATGGGCTTGAGTGGAGGGGCAGGCAGACAAATGTTTCCAAAGCCCTCCAGACCTGGGTATCTGCCAGGGCAGGATGCCAGCCAGGGGTCCTGGGGTGTGCCCACCATGTTGTCCATGCTCCATCCAGCTAGAGAGCAGCTTCGTGTCGACGGAGGAGAGCAAGCAGAAGTTGGTGCCCATCATGACCATCTTGCTGGAGGAGCTAAATGCTTCAGGCCGGTGCACTCTGCCCATCGGTATGGCCCAGCCTTTGCAAGGACAGCAGAGGGGTAGAGGAGGGATAGGAACATGGCAAGGGAAAGGCAAGCCCAGCCATGGACAAGACTCATGAACAAATTGGTGGCCCAATGAGCTGGGTTAATGATGTCCAGGGTCCAGTGCATGTTGGGATTTGAGATGTGGAGGCCAGAAGAACTCTCCATGTTCCATGGGTATGTTCCCTTCCCTCTCCAGACCTGTCTCTTGCTCCATAAAAGGGGAAGACTGGGGGCTCCTGGCTGGCTCAGTCAGTAGAGCATGTGAGTCTTGATCTTGAGGTCGTGAGTTCAAGCCCCACATTGGACAGAGAGCTTAAGAAAAGTGGGGGTTGGGGGAGTTTGGCCCTACCCAGGGCCACCCACCTGCCTCAAGAGTTGCTGGGAGGACTGGAGGGTAATTGAGGGTCTCTTGAAAGAGATGATACTGAAGATATGGGGTGGGGCCCCTGCAGATGAGTCCAACACCATCCACTTGAAGGTGATTGAGCAGCGGCCTGACCCTCCTGTGGCACAGGAGTATGATGTGCCTGTCTTTACCAAGGACAAGGAAGATTTCTTCAACTCACAGTGGGACCTCACCACACAACAGGTGTGCTTTCCCTCCCTGGGGATCATCACCTAGGGCTGGCCACAGCTCTGGCCTCATCCCACCCCTACTGACCCTTCCCTGCCCAGATCCTGCCCTATATTGATGGCTTCCGCCATGTGCAGAAGATCTCAGCCGAGGCAGATGTGGAGCTAAACCTGGTGCGCATCGCCATCCAGAACTTGCTGTGAGTGGAGCAGCAGTCACACTTGGGACAGGGTTGCTAGCCAGGGAAGAGCCCCAGGACCCTGAGTGTGAAGGTGGGAAGGCATGGCCCTCGGAAGCTGAGCACACTGTCTCCCCCAGGTATTATGGCGTTGTGACACTGGTGTCCATCCTCCAGGTAGGTGAGTCTGGGGTCTGGTTAAGCAGAGAGTGAGTTACGTGGCTTGGCCAGACTGGGGCGGTGTCAGACTCCCAAGCCCCTCACTCAGGCCCCTGTGCCTCCTGCCTACCCTCCAGTATTCCAACGTGTACTGCCCGACACCCAAGGTCCAGGACCTGGTAGATGACAAGTCCCTGCAAGAGGCGTGTTTATCCTATGTGACCAAACAAGGTAGCGGTGGGCTTTGGGGGGGGCCGTCTTGGGGAGGGCAGGGCCACCTGCAGAGCTGACCCCTGGTGCCCACAGGGCACAAGAGGGCCAGTCTCCGGGATGTGTTCCAGCTGTACTGCAGCCTGAGCCCTGGTACGACTGTGAGAGACCTCATTGGCCGCCACCCCCAGCAGCTGCAGCGCGTTGATGAACGGTCAGAAGGGGATTCCCAGGGGCATGAGGGGTTTGCCTGAAAGCAGATACACTCTACATCTCTCTGGAGCCTTGGGTTAGAGAGGAAGCAGGAGATTCCCAGTGAGCAGAATCATGTGGCACTACTAGTCTAGGCAGGCTTTCTGGTGGTGATGGGTTTGGAGGCCAGCCTGGTCACTGAGACAAAATCAGAAGGGAGACTGCAGGAAAGGGTTGGCCTGGCTGGAGGAAGGCCTGGCCAGGGCATCACCCCTCTCTCCCTCAACCCCACCCCAGGAAGCTGATCCAGTTTGGGCTTATGAAGAACCTCATCCGCCGACTACAGAAGTACCCTGTGCGGGTGTCTCGGGAGGAGCGGAGCCACCCTGCCCGGCTTTACACAGGCTGCCACAGCTATGATGAGATCTGTTGCAAGACAGGTGGAGACAGGCAGTGCAGCTGGGGTGGGGTCAGGGCAGGTGGCCGGTCCAAGACTGCTCACCTCACCTGCACTGTCCCAAACAGGCATGAGCTACCACGAGCTTGATGAACGGCTGGAAAATGACCCCAACATCATCATCTGCTGGAAGTGAGGCTGGTGGGGGCTCTCTCTCCTGCTAAGCACTCCCTGGTGCATGAGGGCTAGACTGGTAGACTAGTCCATATTGTCTCAGGGTGACCCTCACTTCTGTAAATAAAATCATCCATTTCAACTTACGTTTATTGAGTACCTCCTCTGATCCAGCCACCAGAGAACTGGCAGTGAAATAGCCGTGGTCCTGGTGCCCTGGTGCGCCATCTGGTGGGCAGGACTGACTATGGACAAGTAAATGTGCCCGCTGATTATTAATTGAAATAGCCAGAAAAGCAATCAGGAAGCGGATGATGACTTGGGGTGGGAGTTGGGGCTGTTCTGGATTAAATGGGCAAGGAAGGCCTCGCTGAGGTGACCTGAACTGAGGCTTGAAGGAAGAAGAGTATTCCAGGCAGAGGGAACGGGTGCAGAAGCCCTAAAGCAAAAACAGCTTTAGGATGCATGAGGAACCCAAGAGAGGCCCACGGGGCTGGAACATAGGAGGCAATGGGGAGGGGGCAAGAAATGAAGTCCCGAGGTACTGAGGGGGCAAGAGCCTGATACTGCAGAGTTCCTGGTAAGCTGCTTTGGGACATACTATTTCGAGGGCTAGAAGCAGCCATAGAGTCACCCAGGAAAAGACTACAGCAGTTACCTCATAAGAGGTGATGGCAGCCTGCTAGGCTAAAAAGAAGGAGCCCTGCGCAGTACTTGGGCGGGGGCGGGGGGGGTTGTTGAGCCAACAGGTGGAGCCGGGCGCGAGACACTGGGGCGAGGAAGCCACGGAGAGGAGCATCCGCACCGCCGAGGTGAAGCCGCTGCTGGAAGAGCTGGTGGGGGCAGGGTGGCCTTATCCCTGTGCGGGTCGACTTGACGTCCGACTGGCACTCAGGGCAGACCCTTGAGCCGCAGTCGGAGGTGAGGGAGAAAGTTCTGGGAGTCCAAAGAGGGTTGTTACCCACCGCCGGGAAGGCAAGGCGGCCGGGGGCGGGGCCGGAGCCTGTGCGGGCCGCAACTGCGCAGGCGCCGAGCCAACCGTTTCCATGACGGCGAGGACCCACGCGCTCCAACCGCTCGGCAACGGCAGTGTCCAAGACCTGGACCCCCGCGGGAGACCTTCGTCCCCGAGAGTTTCAGCAGCCCCACCTCAGCGCCGGCTGCTGTCCGGGGTCAGCTGAACCCCGCCTTCCCGCTCTGTCTGCGGCCACAACATGAGCGACCTGGAGCTGCTGCTGCCGGGGGAGGCTGACGTGCTGGTGCGGGGGTTGCGCAGCTTCCCGCTGCGCGAGATGGGCTCCGGAGGGTGAGGCAGCTGGGTCCAAGGGTCAGAGCCCTTGAATGGAGGAGTACGGGCCTGACATGGGGGAGAGGGTGCCCAGTGTGGAGGAGCCCCCAGGTGAGGAGACAAAGCTCTCCGAGTTGGGGGGTATATGGCCCTGAGCCCCCTCTGGCCGCTCGGGATCAGGTTAGGCTTAGCCCGCACCCCACTCCTACTGCACACATGAGCACCCAAATGCACATACACCTCCGCTCTCTGGGGCAGGTGGAACCAGCAGCATGAGAACCTGGAGAAGCTGAACATGCAGGCTATCCTTGATGCTACAGCCAGCCAGGGGGAGCCCATCCAGGAGCTGCTGGTCACCCATGGGAAGGTATGCTGGGGTCACAGGCAGGGTTCCTGCCTTCTCACCACCTCCCACCCCACCACTGTTCTTCTCAGGAACACCTTGGGTGCCTTCACTTCCCTTTGGGTGGTACACTTGTCTTCCCCAAGGGAAAAGAGAGGAGTGTGCTACACATTTGATTTTTCACCCCTTTTGGACAGGACCCTGGCACACCAGGCCAAGTGTGAGGCGTGGGTTGATTTGGGAGATAGTCATGGATCATACAACAGCTTAGGCTGTGGGGTGAGGGCCCACGTTCTAAAGACATCCTTGAATAGACTGTCAGGCCAGAGGGGGCCCTCACTGAAGTGGGGGTGGAACTTTGGCATGGAAGGAGGCAGCCTTCCTAACTTGAGAGAGGAGTAAGAAACCAGAGATCAGCCCGGCTGGAACATGAGCCAGGAGGTGGCTCAAATAAATGACCTGAGATATCACTTAACAAAAGGGTCCCTTTGCAAAGAAAAGGTGGAGCCTCCTACTGGAGGGTGGGAGAGGACTAGGAAATTGTGCAGGGCCCTGAGGAGTAAAGATGAGGTCAAGGCACATGAGAACCTTGGAAGACCAGACGACAGGGACAAGAGGGAGGGCATGAGCACGAGAGCTAGCTTGAGAGGAACACCTGGATGGGGACAGAGGGGAGAAGGGCGTGGATGTAGGGGGGAGCAAGGCAGCCTAAGGACAAGGCAAGAGCTAGTTACAGGAAGCATGGGGAATGTCCCCACAGAGATATTGAGGGCAACTAGAAATGAAGGTCTAAGGTGCAGGAGAGAGGTTGGGAAGGTGTCTATGGAGAGAACCTCGGGGCCCAGGGGAGTTTGAGAAGAGTCAGACAGGGCTGAGCCAGGGATGGACGGGTTGCCAGGCCAACGTAGGCCTACTTCATCCCTGTCATTTCCCCTCCCCCTCAAAGATCCCAACGCTGGTGGAGGAGCTGATCGCAGTGGAGATGTGGAAGCAGAAGGTGTTCCCTGTGCTGTGCAGGCTGGAGGACTTCAAGCCCCAGAACACTTTTCCCATATACATGGTGGTGAGCTGGGCCCCTGTTCACACCCTGCCCGTGCCTTTAGAGGGCTCTGGATTTGAGAAGAGAGCTAGTAATCCCATCCTTCCTTCAGCAGCTCTGGGCCCTGTTCTCTTTATCTGACAGGTACACCACGAGGCCTCCATCATCAACCTTCTGGAAACAGTGTTCTTCCACAAGGTGAGGCATCAGCCCTGTCCCCCAGCCGTTGCCCCAGGCTAGGGCCTGACAGGGAAGGGAGGTTGTGGTTGTGTGGGGAGAGCATCAGAGACAGAATGTTTCCCCTCTGCCTGCCTCTCAGGAGGTGTGTGAGTCAGCAGAGGACACTGTCTTGGACCTGGTAGACTACTGCCACCGAAAACTGACTCTATTGGTGGCCCGGAGTGGCCGTGGTGGCCCTCCTGAGGAGGACGAGTCCCAGTACAGCACCCCCATACAGGTAGGCTGAGGCTCCCTGGGGGTGCCAATGGGTAGACCAGGCTCTCTTGAGGCCTGAGCAGGCAGGGGGTGACCCAGCTTGAGCACCATGTGCCGCCCCCCCAGGAGCTGCAGAAGCAGGCAGAGCTGATGGAGTTTGAGATCGCATTGAAGGCCCTTTCGGTGCTGCGCTACATCACAGACTGTGTGGACAGGTGGGCAGTCCTGCCAGGCCTGGGACCCACGGTGGAGGACTGGGATCCCGGCCCTGTAGCCTCACTTCTCTCCACCACCACCCTTAGCCTTTCCTTGAGCACCTTGAACCGCATGCTCACTACCCACAACTTGCCCTGCCTCCTGGTGGAACTGCTGGAACACAGTCCCTGGAGCCGACAGGAAGGAGGTAAGGTCTTCCCCCACCTGCCCAAGCCCCAGCTCACTGCTTCCCAGACATTCTCCAGGATTGATTGGGACAGGCAGCTTGCACGCCGGCAAACTCTGCCTGCTAGCTCATAGAGGATCCCAGGATGCGTCACGCAAGATGGGCTTGGACCTGGGCTCTGCGTTAGGGAAGGCCTTTGTGTCCACTACTAAGGACTCCCACTGCTCTGGAGCAAGCACCACCCCAGCCTGGGCAAGTCCTGCACCCGGGCAGTGGCCAGTACCCCAGCCCATGCAGCTGCAGTGGGCTGACTGCAAGAGTGCGCACACCTGCCCCTAGTGTGCTGGCTCCTCTCTCCAGGCAAGCTGCAGCAATTTGAGGGTGGCCGTTGGCAGACAGTGGCCCCCTCAGAGCAGCAAAAGCTGAGCAAGCTGGATGGGCAGGTGTGGATCGCTCTGTACAACCTGCTACTAAACCCCGAAGCCCGGGCCCGCTACTGCCTCACCAGCTTTGCCAAGGGACAGCTACTCAAGGTGGGGAACTCCTCCTGCACCAGTGCCACCCCCTCCCACCCCAGCCCAGCCCTGCTGTTTATCACTGCCCACCTACCTCAGCCCCAGTCCTCTTTCTGGACCCCGAACCTCAGGGGTTGCAGCAGCTAGTGGGACATGGTTCCCCACAGGCACCTCAGCCCAGCCTAGCCCAGCGCAGGCCTCCTCTGGTCAGCACCACTTCACGCTGGCCTTCCCTGGACTCCTTTGCAGCTTCGGGCCTTCCTCACAGACACACTGCTCGACCAGCTGCCCAACCTGGCAGACCTGCAGGGTTTCCTGGCCCACCTGGCCCTGACTGAAACGCAGGTCCCTAAGAAGGACCTGGTGTTGGAACAGGTAGGTACTAGGACGTCAGTTGCTCAGCACCACTGTCCACTTTGCCAGCTCCTCTCTGGCGCTTTCCACTTTTCTCCCTCAGATCCCAGAAATCTGGGAGCGGCTAGAGAGAGACAACAGAGGCAAGTGGCAGGCGATTGCCAAGCACCAGCTGAGGCACATATTCAGCCCCTCAGAGCAGGACCTGCGGCTGCAGGCAAGAAGGTGAAGCCTGCTGAGTGGGCAGAAGGGGTGGGAGGGATGCAGAAGGCATGGACACAGGCAGGGGTGCTCTTGTGCCCCCACCAGCCAGGCCCAGCCAGGCTTTCCTGACCCCTTTCCTAGATGGGCTGAGACCTACAGGCTGGACGTCCTAGAGGCAGTAACTCCGGAGCGGCCCCACTGTGCCTTCTGCAGTGCAGAGGCCTCCAAACGCTGCTCGCGGTGCCAGAATGAATGGTATTGCTGCAGGTGAGGGTATCCTAGGACCCTGGACCCCTAAGCCCCACTTCCATACCCTCCCCCCACCCCCGCAAGCACTGCATGCTCACCAGCCCACCTGCCTGCAGGGAGTGCCAAGTCAAGCACTGGGAGAAGCATGGAAAGGCTTGTGTCCTGGCAGCCCAAGGTGACAGAGCCAAGTGAAGGCTGCAGCTGTGAGGGCCAACCACCCATGCTGTACAACCCACCCAGAGTGTGCCCTTGAACCTCAGGATCTCAGCCTAGCCTCTGCCAGAGCCCCAGCCTCCCAGGTGGTGAGCACAGCGAGCACAGTGAGCTGCTGACCCAT